TACAAAATGGGTAGAAGTCACATCATACGCTAGTGTAACCCGATTTGTGGTATGCAAATTCATAAAAAGAGAGATAATATGTAGATATGGGCTTCTAGAGATAATTATTTCTGATAATGCTAAAAATTTAAACAGTAAGATGATGAATGAAGTTTGCACTCAGTTCAAGATTTGTCACCATAAGTCGGTACCATATCGTCCAAAGATGAATGGGGCAGTAGAAGCTGCAAATAAGAATATCAAAAAAATCCTAGAAAAAATGATTGATACTTATAAAAATTGACATGAAAAGTTACCATTTGCTTTGCATGCTTATAGAACATCAGTTCGAACATCTACCGGGGCCACTCCATTTTCTTTGGTATATGGAATGGAAGCTGTGCTACTGATCAAAATGGAAATTCTCTCACTGAGAGTCCTGATGGAGGTAGAATTAGAGGAAGCAAAATGGGTTCAAAATCGCTACGAGCAGTTGAACCTCATTGAAGAGAAAAGACTTACAGCACTTTGTCATGGTCAATTATATCAAAAGAGAATGATGAGAGCACATGACAAGAAAATCTATCCTCGTTGCTTTAGGGAAGGAGATTTAGTGTTGAAAAAGATCCTTCCAAATCAACATGATAATCGAGGAATGGACACCAAATTAGGAAGGCCCGTATATGGTGAAAAAGGCTTTTCTGGTGAGGCATTGATTTTGACAGAAATGGATGGAGGTGATTTGTCTATCCCAATAAATTCAGATGTTGTGAAGAAATATTTTGCTTGAAAAAAAAATGATGATTTATCTAAGCTGAAAACCTAAAAAGAAGGCTTGGATGTGAAGCAGAAGCATCATCAAGAAAAAATCCCACAATGTAGGGGTAAGTCTAGTTTGACAAACTCTGAATGATCAAAGAAGTCATCTGATTTAGTTTTAGAGAAAGAATTTGAGAATATTTTATTCATGATTATCTTGTGATCATTCTTTTGACACTTTTATTTCAACTCAAACACTTTGACATACACTTGTTATCAGCCATATAAAATACATTATCTTTCATTTGAAAATAATGCCTATCCATTCCTTTATCCTTATCTGATATTTTTTGTTCATCGTACAAGTGAATAAGAGAAATGTGTGATTGCATTTTATTTGTCTTGAACTTAAAATGATGAAAAAAAAAAAAACAAACATGAAAGATCTCAGCATTACTTTTAAAGTTGGCAAAGGTAAATGAAAAAGGATGAGAAAAGCATGACAAGACATTGATGTTGCAAACTTTTGAAAAAAAAATATTGTGGTCAGATGTTAAGAACAGATTGGTCATATAAGAATTCTGATAAAAGAAGCCAAAAGTGAGAGATTTTGATAACCTTTTTACTACAATGAATAATTTTGATTGTATTACATGCATTGTATTTAGAGCACTCAGTACATGTATCCATGAACAGTTTTAATAAGGACGGAAACTTTCCATTTTCTGATCAAACAAAAGATTTCAAAAGAGAAAAATTTACTTGTTAAAAAAAAAAAGAAAAACTCGATTTTGAGAGAAGATGAGATTTTTAAAGTTGTTGAGCCTCTGCTGAGAGGAGCTTTTTCCAATGAAATTTTAAAGTTGTTGAGCCTTTGTTAAGAGGAGCCCTTTTTCAAGATGAGATTTTAAAGTTGTTGAGCCTCTGCTAAGAGGAGCTTTTTCAAATGAGATTTTAAAGTTGTTGAGCCTCTGCTGAGATGAGCTTTTTCCAATGAGATTTTAAAATTGTTGAGCCTCTGCTGAGAGGAGCCCTTTTTCAAGATGAGATTTTAAAGTTATTGAGCCACTGCTGAGATGAGCTTTTTTAAATGAGATTTTAAAGTTGTTGAGCCTCTGCTGAGAGGAGCCCTTTTTCAAATGCAATTTTAAAGTTGTTGAGCTTTTGCTAAGAGGAGCCCTTTTTCAAATGAGATTTTAAAGTTGTTGAGCCTCTACTGAGAGGAGCTTTTCCAAAAGAGATTTTTAAAGTTGTAGAGCCTCTACTGAGAGGAGCCATTTTCAAGATAAAATTTTTAAAGTTGCCGAGCTTCAAGTGAGAGGAGCATTTTCGATTAAAAAAAATTTTTTTGTTTGGATTTCGGACAAAATTGTTATCTTTGTCTTTGCCCTATTACTGATTATCAGTAATGTGTAAAGAGGGACAGTTGTAGACATCAATTTATCCAGAATAAATAAATAAATATGTAATATATGTGTAAAATATGAAATATAATAAAAATATGAAATAATATAAAAAATACGAAAAAAAAATAAAACAGAGTAGAACAGAAAAATCGAGGATGGTAGTGGTGCCATCCCCGACACCACTACCACCACCCCTGCCACCAGACCCACCAAACCCTACACCCCACTCTTCTGATCACTATACCCTACCCTCTACCCCTCTAATTACTCCTTTCATTGACAAAACTGTCAGATATGGCCAAAACTAATAAAAGAGGCATAGGGCTCGTGCTTACACCCATGCCCTTCCCCCCAAACACATATGACTGGAGCTCTATAAATAGAGCTTCTAACGAAGCCAAAGAAAAAGAAGAAAAGAAAGGAGACGCTGTAAAAAAAATGAAAAAAAACACAAAAAAATACACAGTCCTCCTATAGGGAGGAACCCAGCGCCTAGAGCTTCCTGCACAAAAAAAAGGGGTCAATTTCATAAAAAAGAAAGAGTCATAATATACAAAAAAAAATAACCTCACCGAAACTTTGAAAATAGATCTAGGGAAGTGTAGACTCTTTTAGGTGAAAATGAGGTTAGATCTGCGCTCATGGGGTCGAGAAGAGTTTGTGAGAGATTTTTAAAATTTTTCGACACCGTTGACTGCGGCCAAAGCTCACAATCGACGAAGACTGCGGCGGCCATCGCGACGGATGGCCACCGGCCCCAGGTTGACTGAAAAAGAGAGAAAAAAAAAAAGGGAGATTTTTTTTGCTAGAAAACGAATGAAATGAATGAAAAAAAAATTTTTAACTTTTATATAAACTGTCAATAGCCAAAACGACGTCGTTTCAATAAACGTCCAAAACGACGTCGTTTCAATAAACGCCCAAAACGACGTCGTTTAGACCAAGGAATATCCGCGCGTCAACCCGCGACCCGACCCGACCTGATGACCCGTTTCTTCATTAACCCCTGACTGGTCTATCTGAACCGAACTAGACCGCCCAGACCGAACCAGACCACGCTCGAATCGTTGAACTGAACCGTTCGTTGACCGGTTCGATTCAAGTAAAAAAAAAATTTTTTTGAATTTTTCTTATTTTTTTATATATTATTTTATTAATATTTATGCATATTAAAATATTTATATTTGTTAGATTAAATGATGAAATTGTGGTTAAATTTTTTTATGTAATTATGTTAATTTTTAAAATAAACTTTAAAACAATAATATAAAAATAAATTTAATAATAATACTAAACTAATAAAAAATGTAGGAAAAGGAAATTTTTATCCGACGATGAGATTCAAAGGTATTCCGAGTAGTGATGCCTACGAAATCTCTAGGTGAGAAGATTTTTTGTAAAATATTACCAGTGTATTGGAATATTTATAGAAAATCTTCAATATAATAAAAATTTTATTTTTCTTCAAATTTTTAAATAAAAATTTCTTTTTTTTAAATAATAAATAAAAATTGATTAATATATTAAAAATAAGTAATAAAAATGAGAAGAAAAGAAATTTAATCCAATGATGAGATTCTAAAAATATTTCGAGTAGAGATGCTTTAAGAAATCTCTAGGTGAAAAGATTTTTTATAAAATATTACCAGCGTATTGAAATATTTATAGAAAATCTTCAATATAATTAAATTCCTTTTTCTTCAAAATTTCAATAAGAATATTAATAAAATAATTAATAAAATTTCTAACAAAGGAGAGTAAAATGTGTGCATAAACATGGTAACATTTTGCATTGTATGCATGATATTTTTTTATGAAAAAATAAATTTGAGCCTCCGAGGATGAGATTCTAAGGTATTCCGAGAAGCGATACCTAAGAAATCTCTAAGTGAGAAAAAGTTCTTCTAATGTTACCAACGTACTTGAACATTTTAAGAATTATTTCAATAAAAAAGTTTTAATTTATTTTTCTCGAGAATAAATTTTTTTCTAATAAATAAAAAAAATATCAAGAAAATTATTTTTTGAACACCGAAAATTGAACTATTTTTATCAAAATCAAAGGATAACACGTTGTCAATTGGTACCGTTTTTAACGGACACTGTGGGGGTGCTAATCCTTTCTTGCGCGTAACCGACTCCCGAACCCAGACTGTTTCGCAGATCATAAAATTATCTTTTTAATAAATTTTAATTAATTTTAAAACTTTATTAAAAGGATATGTTTTAGTAGGTGGCCAATCGCACCTAACCAAAAAAGATTGGTGGTGACTCCGTTATATTTTTTTTATTTCGTTTCTAAATTTATTGGACGGACACAAAACCGTTACGACAATTTATTAAAATGATAAATTTTTGGATGATCAATCATACCTTAAAAAAGATTAATGATAATTTTTTTTATTTTTTTCGATTTTAAAATTTTTTTAATGACGACTTCAAAACTATTACAACAAATAAAATTCAAAATAAGTGTAATAATTCATTATAAACTTTTACAAAGTTAGATAATATATGAAAGGTCATATATGCATAAAAATAAAGTTACGAAAGGAGAATTTGTAATTGAAGTTAAATCATTTATAATAATTTATAATATAATAACCTTCCATGACGCATGGGAGGTTGGTTATTATACTTATACGTAAATATAATAATTTTATATATTTTATATTAAATAAATATAAAAAATAAAAATTATTATGTCTAAATTTATGATGATATGATAAATATAAAATTTATTTTTATTTTTTATTAAATATAAATTTTGATTAAAATTTTAAATTATATTATTTATACATATATAATTTGTGGATATGGTACTTAAAATTATTAGATTTATTCGTAAGTGTGAAATGTAATGGCTGCTGAGCCAAGGTTAGACGTAACAAGGAAAAAGATTGGTAAACTACTTTTATTTCATGGCAGCAGTAGTCAAACCTCTGTAATTGTTTTGGTGAGCAGGCTTTTTCATACCTTGTCAGATTCTTTCATATAATAAAAGGCAACTCATTAATTCATTGATAAAACAGATAGAAAGAAAATATTTAACAACAACAATATTTTCAAGAACTGATAGAGATTCGATGAAGATGGTGATAATCGGATCACCGCTACTTTTGGCTTTGGGTTTATGTGCTCTCTTCATCTTTGGTTTGAAATTTTCAGCTCAAGCTCAGAATCAATCTCAGCCAACTACTGATCCTGCCGAAGGTATGTTTCGATTGCTCGCTTTTTATATACATACTAGAATTAGAAAAGCCATATTGTTGGCATAGGGCCTGTTGTGGACATCCCCAAGGTTTAGCCTAAACCCATGAGTCGCTAGAGAAGCCTTCTTCTCTTTGTTATTTTTAGGAGTATATTGATAGAACGTTGAACAAATAATTCATAAATTAATTTAATTTTTATTTGTTTATATTTATTTATTAAATTTAATAAATAATCACGAATTATATTATAAGATTTATTAATTAAATAAATAAATTATAAATATAATAAAATTTATTAATATTTAATTAGTTTATAATGTAAAATTGTAAACGAAAAAAAATTCAATGAACAATTTTATGAATAAATTTAAAGTATATTTATTTATGAAATTTAATAAATAATCATCAATAATATTTTAAAATTTATTAATTAAATAAAAAAATTTTAAACATTATAAAATTTATTCATATTCAATTGATTTACATCCTATTATTATTCATGTTGGCCTTAGAAGGTTCATGAGCATAATAATAATTTTAAGAAAAATGAATAACCATTTTTTCATTATAAGGTTGATTGGAACCCATCAGTGCACCTCATCTATACTTACCATTCTTTTGGCCAACTTGTCATGCAAATATTTATTCCTTCTAATTCTTTGATTATTATGGTTATTGTTCCTATTTCTTTTTTCTTTCTTAAAATTAAAAAAAAAAAAACCAAAAGTATATTTAGATAGAGAAAAGAAATATTATGAATACTTAAATATTAAAAAATTGAATTTTTATAAATAAAAAAAATACATAAATTTATTTTTATATGAAATAGTTTAGTGTAAGTATACATGATACTTCATTATTTAATTATTTTTATTTAATATCATTTTTGAAAAAAATTATTAAATTAAATCATGGATTGAGTCCTAAAAACTTTTGCTATAATTTATATATAGATTAAATTATAATCAAATATTATATATATAATTATTAAATAATTAAAAAAATCAATCAATCAATAAATTAAAACATAAAATTAAATCAAACTTATATAGAATATCACTTGAATCTAAAGCTCTAGAGCCTCTACTTGTCACGAAGCTGCCTCGACTTTTTTTTATAATACATGTTCAAAACTGACACCGTATAATTTGTGTGCAGCAAGAGCATTGAACTCAATATTTCAACGGTGGGGAATATCAGCACGACAAGACCAATGGAACATAAGTGGCGAGCCATGCAGCGGAGCGGCCCTCGACTCTGACTCTACTGACATTGATAACACTGATTACAACCCTTTCATCAAATGTGACTGTTCTTTCAATGGCTCTACTTGCCACATCACCCGTCTGTATGTGCCCTGATTCTTTGTCCCACGAAAATCTATTCTTCTCCTCTACGGTATTTGATAGTTGCATAGCATCTGTTTGACGTTATGGCTGAATGGTGATTACCCATCTGTACAATGGCCTTGAAACTGCTTGCATTGATGTTAGAATTGTTTGCATCCCGTGCATATGGGTCTCCCATGGATAGTATTTGATATATGATGATCATTTCAAAAATTATGATGATTTACACATGGAGATTAAATCATCATATTTGGTAAGCATTAACTGAACTTAGGTGACCAAGATCACCGACAGTAAGCAGATCATTTTTTGGAGATGATTTAATTTGCATTCAAAAGGGTAAGAAATTTTATAAGAAGTGAAGTGATATGTAAAATTAATAATAATCAATATTAATCATTTAATATGTGAATTAAAATTTTGGTTTATCTCAAAATTTTAATTATTTTATATAATAAATTTTTATGTTTTTTGTATTCATCAAAATAAATTCAAAAATAATTTTTGTGTTTTCTTTTAACATTTTAATGTTTCATATATATAACATAATTTTTTTCATTCTTCTTCTTATATGATTTTAATAGAATAGTTTCATTTTCTAATTCAAATTTTTTTTATATAATTTATATTGTAAAAATTAGTTTATCTATAGATAAATATATTTTTTAATTTAATAATTTAAGTATATTTTATTATAAAGTAAATAAAATTTTAGTAATATTTTATAAATTATAATCTTTAAGCAATATTGAAATCATTAACTTGTGTGACTATTAGAATATGCATGGTTATTATGGTATTTTCAAACAAAATAATATTTAATTTTTAGTAATATCAAATATAGTGATATTTAATTCTTAAAAATTAATCATTGTTAAGTAAAGAAAGTGATTTCAAATCACGAGTGATAAGATCACTGTAACGATTAAATTACCATGGTGATATTTAAAATGATACTTTAAGAGAATATGTCTATTCCTTCCATAAATTCTGTCTTAATTTGACTTTTTATAATAAAAATTTTCAACTTTTACTTTAATTTTGTCAATATTTGATTAAATTAAATTTTAACAAGAACATACTTGAAAACTATTTTGTTCAAAGTTTTGAAAAAATATTTTAAAAATAATTTAATTGATAATGGTTTATGAATAAAATATAATAAACTTAAAAAAATTTGATTGAAAAAGTTCAAACTTAGAAACTAATTGTGGGACGAAGGGAGTAGTATTTTGTTTGCTTTCTTGTTAGTTGAATGTCGAAGAGGAAGCAGATGGTCCCTTAATTGGCATTCACATTGTTAAAGTGCGAGACTTCCAACCTAGGCCTCATTAGGCTCCCAACCATAGCTTTTGGCCAAAAACACAATACCAAACACGCCTGGAATAGTTTGGGTGAAAGCCCCCTTTGGCAGCCATTTTCAGAACAAGTGCAAAAGTACCATGGGAGTTGCTTTGGTGGTTTGCAAACTACTCTTTGGAGAGGAAATGATGAAATACCCCTCCTTGTTTTAAAATATGAAAAATTTATCTATTAAAAAGTTATCTATTAATTACTTTTTCATCTTTTTTCAAATGGAAAGAATATAAATATTTGTTTTCTAACTTGAAGTAATTTAATTTTCATAAGAAAATCTAAAATTTTTTATTTTGTATAAATTTTAAAATTAAATTTCACAATAATTTATTTTTGATACATCTTAATAGTAATTTACTTATAGTATTAAAATGCTTATTCTTTACTTTTCAACTTCCTATCTATTTTAGACATTTTAACTCTTTTCACAGCAATGCCAAGCACTAAAAACTCTCCAATCCCAATTTGCCACATCAATTTCTTGTAGCATTTTTCAGATGCACATTTTCCAAAGTCGACTTTTTCAACCGCAAAAACAATGCCAAAGTAGACCTTAAACATTTTAGGTTGAAATCTTGGCCAAGGGATAGATTGAGGTTTATGGAATGGGAAAGTCTTATTTCTTATTTTTACATAGCTAAAAAATCAATGGAATTTCAGGAATGTAACGAAAATGTGGAGGCATGCATAACTTTATATCCAGAAAGTCAAAGTAACAGCCTTTGATAAAAGCTGCCATTTGTTGTTGTTACATTTTATTTACAGTTTTGAGCAAATAAACAGATTAAATGAATTCAGCGGTTAGTTTTGGAAGCTCCTTTTGGAGGGATGCAATCATAGATTAATCATTACTAGAGCTAAAGAGTTTGTTTTTTTTAAAGTCCTTTTATTTTTTATCTTAATTAGTTTATCCTTGGATTTCTGTTGTTGGAAATAAAAAGAAATTGAATGCTTAAATCGAATAAATGTTTGCAGACTGTTCTTAACTTCTTATTGTGTAACACTTATTTTTAGTATTCTGTCAAATTTCGGATGAATGATTGAATGGTATATGATAATGAGAATTTAGTATTTGAATATCCAGACTAACATATGTGAAAAAGCTTCTTTTTATACATTCTTATTCGAGATAACTTTTTTACAGGAAAGTTTATGCACGGAATGTCGTGGGTGTGATTCCAGATGAACTTTGGTCTTTGACGTTTCTTACCAATCTGTATGGCTTCTATTTTACATGCATGTATACTTACAATTCTACATTTTTAATGAGTACATGCTTTCATATCTCTGCTAAGATCAAGCTCCAGCAAAGCTTGAAGTTAAAATTATGTTGCATATTTCAGCTGTTGTGTTGCATGATTTCAGCTATAATGTTACCATCCAGCGGGACTGTTTTCAATGATGGATTGTCCATGTTTGCTGATGTTATGAATACTGACATCCCCCCATTGTCAACCCCATTTCTTTCAGGAGGCTGGGCCAGAATTACTTAACAGGTCCCCTTTCAGCTTCCATTGGCAATCTAACTCGAATGCAGTGGCTGTACGGAATTCCAACTTTTATAATTTATAAAGTCTCAGTCATGACTTTATTGTTATAAATCTTTCAAGTTCTGATGTGTAACCCTTGTGTTGAATAGGGACCTTGGCATTAATGCACTATCAGGGGAGCTTCCAAAGGAAGTAGGACTGCTTACTGATTTAAGATCATTGTAAGCTAATCTTATACTTTTCTCTGTAATTTATTTAACAACTTGTTTACCCCACTTTTCCATGGTTGCATGATGAGCATCATCTCCAAATGCAGGTTTCTTATTTTACTTTTTTGTTTTACAACACACATTCTGATAATAAAATTTGTTTATAGATTTTTTTTTTTTTCATATCTTCCTGTTTTTGTTCCTCATTGACCTTCCAGGCTGCCATTTTCATATTCACTGTGCTGATTTAAACTAAAAAAATAAAGTGCTTGAGTTGTACAGTCTATTTATTGATGTACTTTGCAATATGGCAGTGCCATTGGAACTAATAACTTCTCTGGTCCTTTGCCATCTGAGCTTGGCAACTGTTCAATGCTACAACAACTGTAAGTTCTTGTACATTGCTGAATATTCCTTTCATTTTCAATGCAGATTCTGCTAGCTTTCTTAGGGAGCGGTTACTAGCTGGGAAAATAGATACATAGCATACAAAGAACTAAAAGTGAATTAACATCAATATGACACATATGACCAAAATTTGCAACAAATCCTATTATTGGTGATTCCCCAAATATCATTGTTTTACAGAGGAACTATATTTAACTAATATGGGAAGAATATTAGACAATCTAAACAGTCTAAAGAGAAAAGCTTACATAGAGACATACTGAGAACAACCATTTAAAGCTTATTAAGTTTTGATGAATAACATGATGCCTTTACTATTTTTTGTTGTAAAGCCTTAAGATTTGTGTAATCCTAAGACATACTTGTAGACTTATATGCTCATTTTAGGGCTTAGGCCATTCTAAAACATTGACATCTTATACCTCTGTCTAGTTCTATGGCTTCCAGTCTACTTGAAAAAGCAATGTCTGATAATTTTAAGAACTTTTGGACTATCTGGAAATTTATTTTATGTAGGAAAATGATGAAAAACTTATTTTTGTGTAATTGAAAATAATAATTACTTAGAAAGATCAATCGTTGGTGACATCATTACCATTAGATACATTGATCCTTCATTATACAGGAATTTTGGTGTTATGGACAATCGAAATAATGTTCTTTACTGGGAACCATCAGATTGATTTGCTTAGGCTTCTAAACAGACTACAATGCAATCCAAGTAGGGTTTGGAATAACATCTTTCATTGATGATTTTTATGTTCTAATTTAGAAAAGGGGCATGAGCAAACAATCACTCAAAATAAAGATTGTGGGAATAGGAACAAAAAAAATATTGCATGAAGCAATATGTGTAAGGCTGTTGAAACAAGCCAAGAGCATAATTAAATAGAGACACACTAAACATTTTTGACAACCCAAATACTCATTTTTGTTTAACTTTCGTTAGGATGTATCAGATGATAAATTTCTCTATTTGTTTGAGTATGAAGCTTTTAGACTTTCTGCTATGTTGTATGCTTGAAATCTTATGAGTGAAATCTTGCAGTTATTTCTTATAGGATTCTATTTTTATGCAACCCACTTTCTTCTTTTCTTGTGTTTGTGTGCCTCTCTGATGGTTTAATAATTATGATTTACTAGCTATTCATTTCTTGTTTTCACTTGATGAAAAAAGTAGACCATTAGAAATGATGGAACTTTGTTAATGTTGGCAGTTATTTTGATGGTTCTGGTATAAGTGGTGAGATTCCTTCAACATTCGCTAATCTGCAGAACTTGGATACAGTGTAAGAATTTTTCTTTTAATGCGCTGTTTTCTAGAAATTTTCAAACAAATATGCTTTGTTGGAAAAAAAAAAGTATATTCATGAAATTTTTGAAGCAATAGCTCTATTTATTTCAGGTGGGCATCAGACACTGAACTTACAGGGAGGATACCTGACTTTATAGGGAATTGGTCAAAGCTTACTGTCTTGTATGGTTTACTTTCTTCTTGGCTTTAAGGTTCTGATTTGGAGCAGAGGAAAACGGGATAACTGTTTGTGTCTTAGTACCATCTCTGCACAATTTATAATGTCTTGATCTGTTATTTGATTATAGGAGATTTCAAGGAAACTCTTTTGAAGGTCCAATACCTTCAACATTTGCCAATCTTACGTCTTTAACAGAGTTGTGAGTGCCTACATCTTTCTCTGTAAGTTCTTTTAACATGTTGAAGGTCTATGACGTCAACATTCTACTGTGATGCACTTATAGGAGGATAAGTGGTTTATCTAATGGAGGTTCCCTAGCATTTATTAGGGATATGAAGTCCTTAAGTGTCTTGTGAGTCAGCTTAATTCCAGCTTCTCTTACATTTTACTCCTTCCCTCTTGTTGTCCAATAAATTAGTAACATTGACTCAAGAAAGGATATTCCTTGCAGAGATCTAAGGAGCAATAATATTTCTGATACAATTCCATCCAGCATAGGGGAATACCAGAGTTTGACACAGCTGTAAGTTACTCCCGTGAATGGTTGTTTCCATAGTTACAAGTCAAGCTTCTGTCAAGGCAGGTTCTGAGTGAGTTGAACCTGAAACCTGTCAATTGACCATCTGATTGGTCCTTCTAAACTAATGGTCAGATGTTTTGTGAGAGCCCTTTGTAAAGTTTCTTGAATTTATTTAAACAATACTGTGCACAAGGTTAGTAGGTGTGCTTGTAACTAGAACCCGTTTTACTTAAAATTGGGTTAGCAGCCATTTTACTCAAAACTTGATTGTTTTCATGTGTGTCTTATATGTGTGTGTGTGCATGTGTGTCCGTACATATGCATACACAAATACAAATATGTATATACATATGCGCATTAATGCATACATGTATACATATATAAATATATACATACATATATATATATATGTATGTATGTATGGGGAAAGGTGGTTGCTGTTTGATGGATTTGGTTGAAATTTTGCCAGCTCAATAATTTGCTTAAATAGAATTATTTCTTTAATTACTTTTTGCTTGTTTCGTACAAGATGTACTTTCTAATAACCGTTTGAATATTTTCCTTTCTAGGGATTTAAGCTTCAATAACATAACTGGACAGATCCCAGATGCTCTGTTTAATTTGAGTTCACTCACTTATTTGTAAGACTCCAACTTAAAAATACATATTCATATACCAATTGATTTTTATATATGAAAATATGGTTCATTTTGATGTTTTTATCTGCAGGTTTCTTGGAAATAATAAGTTGAATGGTACACTGCCTGCAGAAAAGAGTTCATCTCTTCGCAATATGTAAGTGCGACTTATATCCTTCAACTCAATGCTAAGATGATATATTAAGATAGTATTTATTTGGAGTAATAGTTTATTCTCATCAATATCATTCACTTATTTGAATCTTAGGGATATCTCAAGCTCCAATCTCTTGTTCACATTATTATGGTGATATAGCCCTATCTTTTGCCCACAAAACCCCTAGGGACCAGCTGCTAAGAGTTAGTTCTGTGTAGGATGAAAGTCTACATATATGAACCTTAGGAACCACTTTTGGGAAAAATGATAATAAAATGTAATATATGTGTATTAGAAAATTTAGATGCACTGTTGAATGTAGCTATTTCTATTTCTTTTACCTATTCAAATCTCTTGGTGGTTCTCTTTGCAAAAGGAAGTATTATCTATGAAAAAGAAAAAAAAAAAGATGATTCATTCAGGGAAATTTTTCTTGGAAAATCATATATATGTTTCTAAGTTAGATATCAGAAGGTAGATGTGAAGGCACATTCATCGTTTCAAAGCCTTCCCTGCTGGTTTTGCCTTGGAAACTAGGGACCAAAGTTTAGCAAACTTTCAATGCCACCTAAGATTGATTCATGGGGAAACATATATATATATATATATATATATATATGTTTTGGATGGTGTTTAAAATTTGCATGGATTGATATGATTTAATTTATTCTTAATTCTCTTAATTACGTGCCATTCTCAACATGCAAACCTTGCAGAGATGTATCGTACAACAATTTAGCTGGGAGCTTTCCTTCTTGGATCAACCAACCAAATTTATTAGTGTAAGTTTCTTATAGGTTTCTATAGTTGCATCCAATAGATTCCATTGTAGTTTATAAGTTTTAACTTACGTTACGATATTTTGTTCTCTTCCTAAGATATTGACTTCTGCTAGCTCTTGAATATAGGCTGTCCAGTATTATAGAAAGCTTCAAATTTGTAGGATGTGTCTTCATTATATATACACTGAATGATCATGAAATTGACTATTTTTTTTATGGTGTGCGTTATACAGTAATTTAGTTGCCAACAACTTTACAATAGGACAGTCAAACAGCAGGTAAATTCTCTTGCTGCTATCTTCTCTTTACATGATTTAAGATATGAAGTTGATTTAAAAAGTAATTGCTTTTTCTCAATTTAGAATATTATGGATCTTGTATTATGGCCACTTGTCCTGGTTAAGTTGCTGCTTGTGAGCCAGAAGGCTGCTATAAGTGATAATACATTTTTCTTTTGATAAGATATAACAAACATTTATGAGGTTTGGAACATGGTAATACGCTTTTCAATCATGTTAGTGCTATAGTTATAATAGTATTTCCTCCCCAAAACCATATTCTACCGTTGTGTATTTGTTTTTAAGTAAAATTGCATAGTTGTTGTATGATATGTAAGTAGTCTTGTTCATTTTTATGGTTTGTTCACTTTTATGTACTTTGTGATGCCTAATGGTTCACGACAAATAAAATGATTTCTAATGCTTAAATTTATATTTTGTTTCTATTCAGTTTCCCATTCGTGTTATGATGTGATATAATGAATGATAAGTAGATTTTTACTATTATATGTGGAGAAAAGGATTGGCTCCTTCCTTAGTTTCGTTGTTGAAGGAAAGGGGAAACGACTTATTGCATTTTGTAAAGACTCCATTTGTGAATTTGAAAGGCTTAAGTTAAGCTTACATAACCTTATTCTGATTTATATGTCATCAAATATTACTAAGCATGTAATCATCATCCTTATGCAACTGCATTGCTCTTCTATTTTCAGTGTTTTGCCATCAGGGCTGAACTGCCTTCAACGGAATTTTCCTTGCAATCGAGGATCTGGAATCTGTGAGTATAATTATAACTTTCCCTCTTCACGCTTCTTATGCAGAAACAAATAGGTTAGCAGCTAGGCCAGAATAGGATGGACAGACCTTCCTGATGTTGGTAGAGGTGTTATTGGCACAATATTGGATTATTACTGGCCATTGGATTGAGTAGAATATGACGAGCAAGCATTTCTAATTTTTGTGTTGCCACTAATATTCTTGATTTCAAATGGTCTTTTCCCTTTTCCTTCAAAGAAAATAAACTCCAGAAAAGAAAAGGGAATAGAGTTATACATTTTCATAAAAACTTAAAGCTGAATATAATTGATTTCCATTTCTTACACACAAATAGTATAAAAAAATCAATTTTTTTAGTTATCCATCATATCTTGGAAATATCAGAATTGATGGCGAATAAAATGTTAATAGGATTAAAAAGACCCAGGTTGATTGCGTACTCTTACTACAGGGAATGGATACTAGAGTAGAGGAAATATGTACTATTACAAAAATACCCCAATTTGAAACCATCACTAAGGTAAATTTTGAAGTGCAAAATGGAATCTCAATCTGAAACTATTATAGTCGAATACTTAATTCTCTAACCATCTTGATTTGAGGGAATATCAATGGTGAGCTTTAGAGGGTGGCTGGAAAACCACCTCCAAACCCTCTACTCTTCCTTTTAATAAGAAAGTATAAAACATGTGACCTTAATTTTGGGTCAGCTTCTTTTTTATTGTTAATGGATTTTAGGTTGGATATTTAACACTATATCAGTGTAGTAAGTTGTTTGTTGACTTGTTTGTTATGTTGTTTGTTGCCCTTATCTTTTGTCCACATACCAAACTTGTTTGTTTCAGTTGTTATTATTGAGCCAGCCCCAATCATGCTAATTTTTTCTACTAAATTACCCTTTTCAGTGCGGTTGATGAATATCTCCTTTTTTTTATTTACAGATTATAACTTTGCAATTAAGTGTGGTGGTCCACAGATTACATCATCAGATGGGACTCTGTTCGAGAGGGACAATGAGACACTTGGTCCAGCATCATATTATGTTACGGACACTAATAGGTGGGCAGTCAGTAATGTTGGATATTTTACTGGGACCAATAATCCTCAGTACACTATTACTTCCGCATCTCAGTTCACAAACACCCTAGACTCAGAGCTATTTCAGACAGCACGGATCTCTGCTTCATCACTAAGGTACTATGGATTGGGGCTTGAGAATGGCACCTATACTGTGAGGCTTCAATTTGCAGAAACACAAATTCTAGATACTGATAGATGGGAAAGTCGTGGGAGGCGTGTTTTTGATATTTATATCCAGGTCTGTATCTCATCATCGAATTCTTCCCTGTATTGCCCTTCAACTGTTACTGTGAAAACTGACATTCAGGATAATGCTGTCAAAGTGTTTTTTATACTAATTAAAAGTCTTAAACAATTGCCAACTTTTGCTCAGTATGCACATATTTGACAGTGATACTTCATTTCTTGAAATATCACTCTTAGATATCATGGAACCAAGATTTTGTTTCCCTCATTTTAAATTTTGACTCAACTAGTTGACAAAGTTCGTCTAAATTGGTGCAACTTCCATCTCAAATACCATTTTTTTTTTGTAATTTTTTGCACAATTTTCCATATAATATAATCCCTCTCAGGCGGGAAATTTTTGGTTCAAGAGAAATTGTTAGTGCACAAATAACTAACCTTAACAAGTTAGTGGGTACTAACTTGAAAAGGCTACCTTTGGTCTTAGGTAAGATTATTCTAGCTTAAGAATGATTACCTGTTTTGGCATGATTCATATAATAATCTTTTATAAGAATAACATTTGCATTTAACTTTCTTTATTTCTGAATTTGATTATTCCAGGGGAGTCTTGTTTTAGAGGATTTTGACATACAGAAGGAGGCCGGTGGGGTTTCTAGACGAGCAGTTATAAAAGAGTTTAAGGCTCTGGTATCAGAAAACTACCTTGAAATTCATCTGTTTTGGGCTGGAAAAGGGACTTGCTGTGTTCCAGCTCAAGGTACATATGGGCCGTCCATTTCAGCAATCAGTGCTTACCCAGGTCAGCAATTAACAAATTTTATTCATTTATTGCACAGCATTACAGTATTACTGATTGCTCTGATTTATGCAGATTTCATACCTACTGTTAGTAATAATGCTTCTACTAGCAAGAAGACTAGAACTGGCTTGATCGTGGGGATTGTTGTTGGTGTTGGAGTTGTAGGCCTACTGTTTGTTGCAGCATTCTGCATTTTTAGGAGACAAAGGGCCCGTAAGAAAGATGATGAAGGTAGACTTCAAAGTCTTGGTGCTAATATTTTAGTTGTTTAACTTCTTATTTTTGAAGTTTCTTCTGGGTTTAAAAACTTGTCATGTGCATCCAAGTGGGCCTAGTCTTCTGTCAAAGTTAAGCAGTGAGCACGTAGATGCAACATTTCATCTCAAGAAGAGAATAAAGAAATCCTGTTTGCCTTGAAGGAAAACATTTTATGCCTGTGTGAACCGGGCATTTTTAGAATCATACAATTTTTTTTCTTAATTTCTTCTTTAAGAAACCAATAACGTTTGAGAAAAATGAGGTACTAGTCACAAATAATCTTTCAGTTGCTCCTGCCAGTGATTTTTGGTTTCTACTGGACAAGATTTTAAAAATGCATCTACAAATAGAATATTTGCAAAAGCACATACTCCTTTTATATCAGCTTTAAAAATTTGTGAGACCTTAGAAAAATTAAGTACCTTTTATTCTAATAAAATAAATCTCGAGTATGCACTTCCAACTTATGCACAACCAATCCAATTAATCTTTAGATTAGCAATTTTACAATGGTAACCTGTCTCTTTCTTGAATTTGCAGAGCTACTAGGGATAGATGCTAAACCCTACACTTTCAGTTATGCTGAACTAAGAGCTGCTACAGAGGATTTCAACCCTGCAAACAAGCTTGGAGAGGGAGGATTTGGGCCAGTCTATAAGGTAATTTGTGGTTCTATTATGGCAGAGCAGGTGGATGAATACACCTTGATATGGGATTTTTGTCTGAAATGCCCATAACACCAGTGGATCCATGACTAATCTCAGATTACAGAACCTTTTATGTCAATTTTACTAAGTGGAGGCATTTCACTCGTTTTGATTGTCAATTGATTGTTAACATATACAAGTAATGAAGGGGATGAAACAAGAGCAGCGATAAGACATAAGCCTTTGACACATGATAATGAATTGAAAGTGACTGATCCTATGACCCCCTCATCTGTTTGCATTTGAAAACAAAATAAATGAAATTTTACATTTTTTATTGTTATTCTATCCCTTTTCTTGTTACAAACTGTGTTCTCCTATGAAGGGAACACTGAGGATATAAGTTGATTTTAATTTTGGTGGAATCAAATGTCAAACACTGACAATAAAAGACTGAATGAAAGGAACTCCAGGATATTGAATCATTATATTATGCTAATAGTTCTTTGTTAAGTTTGTTATAACTTCTTTTTTTATCATAATTTTTATTTGAATTATGCTACATAGGGAAGACTTGATGATGAAAGAGTAATTGCTGTCAAGCAATTGTCTGTAGCATCCCGCCAAGGCAAGAGCCAGTTCGTTACAGAAATTGCCACTATATCAGCTGTGCAACACCGTAACCTCGTCAAATTATATGGATGCTGCATTGAGGCAGATCAGCGTCTCCTTGTTTATGAGTATCTGGAAAACAAAAGTCTAGATCAAGCATTGTTTGGTATGAAGATAGAATCAATGAAATTATATGCTTTTCTTTCTAAGTCGGAAAGTTGGAAACATATTGGATGTATAGTTACATATGGCTTGCATGAAGCAGGAAAAAATTTGAACCTCAGTTGGTCAACACGGTATGATATATGCATGGGAGTAGCACGAGGTTTAGCTTACCTTCATGAAGAATCAAGGGTTCGCATCGTGCACAGAGATGTCAAGTCCAGCAATATTTTGCTTGATTCTGATCTCACCCCGAAAATCTCTGATTTTGGTTTAGCCAAACTTTACGATGATAATAAGACCCACATAAGTACCCGTGTTGCAGGGACAATGTAAGATTCTGAAGATTAGCAAACCTAATTTTTTACATCAAATTTATTGTTTTTCACCATGATTTATGCCTTCAGTGGATAAATAGTAAATAGTTGTTGTCATTACCAATGTAGCGGGTATCTTGCACCAGAGTATGCCATGCGTGGACACCTTACAGAGAAGACTGATGTGTTCGCCTTTGGCGTTGTGGCTCTAGAGATTGTTAGTGGAAGACCTAATTCTGATTCAAGCTTGGTGGAAGAGCAGATGTACCTTCTTGAATGGGTATGAATATTTCTTTTTTCTTTGGATATACGAGAGATTGTTTAGTACATTAGTATGTTGTAGAGTTATATTCCTCTAACCTCAGCCCTAGAACCAAGGCTTTGACAAGTAAATGGATATCAACAGGGCGACACTCCGATGATTTGCAAAGTTATAGGATTCATGAGTTTTGTGTGAGTTGCAATCTTGCATTCACTTCTCTTTGATCTGGTACCTTGTCTCCTTTGCTTTGTGTCAAACATTTTCATTTTGTTTTGGTATGCGATTTTGGGTTTCCAGCTCCAAACTTCTATTCTACTGGAAAAAGTTTAAGGCAGTGATTGCTATAATCCAAAAACAAGTCATGTTCATTTAAATCTCTTGTTTTTCTAAATTACACTTACTGACTGGGATTCATGTCACCTTAAGCAATTTAAAACACATTCTACACCTTTAATCCTCTGCTTTCTGAGTTTCATATGCATTATGCGTAAATTGCTTTTCTAAAATATGCTTTCATCTTTCTGCTTACTAGGCTTGGCACCTGCATGAAAAGGATCATGAAGTTGAACTTGCGGACTGTAATTTATCCGAATTCAACGAGGAAGAAATGAAGCGTGTTATCGGAATTGCTCTTTTGTGTACTCAAACATCACCAATGCAAAGGCCATCCATGTCTCGTGTGGTGGCTATGCTTTCGGGAGATGCTGAAGTGAGCAGAGTAGTTTCAAAGCCTGGATACTTGACTGACTGGAAGTTCGATGACGCAACTAGCTTTACGAGTAATCTGGAAACTGGAGCAAGTGAAACCAACTATGATACCTCTATAAGTACAAGCATAGTAGCTGATGCACAGATTTCACCTGGAAATGTTACTAAACCTATGCTCGACGTTATCATTGGAGACGGAAGGTGAGATTTTAGCCTTTATCATTATTTTTGTGGCATAAATCTACACAATTCATACATTCTTAATTGTAAATCATCTATATAATCAAAGAATGTGAGCTGCGGCTGTTATTAATTTCATTGTTAGATTGGTTTTACTATTATTTCCTAAATGAAATTAGAAGTTTTGCATTTGTTTCATATTGGCTGAGGGATATGGAGTTTTGGATTAAAGTCATGCACAAGTTGTCTAGCAACTATTTACCACCAGAGAAGCTTCAAAAATATCGTAAGATATATCAAAAACAAATCAACATTAATTACTCTTTGAACAAATGTGCCCAAAGTTCACACAACTAAAGATTCTATTTTAAAAATGTGCCCAAAGATGACGGCTGTGACTTTGATTAGCGTTAAGGGCGTGTATCTTGGATTCAAATATATATTTTTTAAATATAAAAACGAATAGAAAAGTAAAACGTATATATTTTAGGGGTTTAGTTAGGTGGTATTGCAACAATTTATATAATCACTTGTAAGAGGATAATATTTAATAGGTCTAAATTTCAAATTTGAACATTTGTACTTTCTTATCTTATTTTCAGATTGCAGACTCTTTGTACCAAAAAAATAATAATAATAAAAATCAAAGGTAAGAAGATAGCAATGGCCAACTAGCAAAACTGTTAGTGGGTAAATCAATACAGCAAGTCATCCCTCATGTTTCCAGTTAACTTGCCTGAAACCTGCTACATATGAAAGCAATGTTATTAGAAGATATATTGGAAAGAATCTGCAAGAATCATAAACCCACCAATGCAATCCAAATTCATAGCATTCTGAAGGGTAGAGCAATATATAAAGAGTGAAGAAGCTATATGAACACTGACTGTAACTTCTTTTTATTTATAAACAGCCTGAACATGTACACAACCACAAATCATATTCAACTCAAAAGGTTCTCAGAATTTCCCCTTTTCCATAGTTTCTTCTTCTAGTTTTGTTTTTCACACTGGGAAAGGGGATGGAATCAGACTAATATGAAACATAGATAGATGAAAATAGTCAGGCTTAAAGTGTTCTAATCTACAATTAGCACTGACCTCCATACAGATTGAGACGTAATCTTGATGCACCTTCAGAACAACAGCCTTGTTACTTACTTGTTTCGATACAGAATGTCACTCAGTTCAAAGTTAATGAACGCACAAGTGGAGCTTTGTTTTTAGCTCCACTTTTAACATCTGCAACAAACGACATATATTATAAACAATGCTAGCCTTAATTTGAAAGTATTGATTTTCTGGATATTTCTATAAGGACAAGAAGATGATTTTCCTAATAAGAAAGTAATCAGACTTGAAAAATATGTCTAGAATCAAATATAATTAATTGTAACCTCGATTTGTTTTTTATTTTTTATATATTATCTATATCATCAATATAAAAAAGAGTTTTAATGTAGTTTGAGGCTTTTAATTCTAACTACTCGAGCATTTTTTAAATTTTATGAAATATATAATCATTTTAGCATGCGTTTTGAGTTTTGAGTTCAAATTATTTAATTGAATAATTTCAAACTAGTTTTGATTTTTCAAATTTGGATTTTTGACTTTTTTACTAAATTGAATTCAAATTTAAATTTTTTTTAATGTACTTTTGGATTTTAATTCATTTTGTCACCCTTAATCAGGGATATAATTTTTAAATTCCATATTAAATTAAATGATTTTCATATAATGTCTACCTAATAATTAACTTATCAATTTTTATAAAAGATTTTAATATGGTAACAATCTAATTATACTTATGAATTTTAAAAACTCCACAATTGTAAATAGGATAATTTTTATTTTCATAAAGTAATGCTGTTAATTATCAAGTTAAAACCAAAAAAAAAAAAAGACAAGTAATAATTTTATTATTTTTTTATTATTTTTAAGTTTATAAGTTTTTGTTTTTTGTTTTCTGTTTTTCTTTTTCATGAGAGAGCCTTTTAATTGCAAATTATGTGTTTTTTTATGTTTTCTGGCAAGATTATAATTGATTATAATTATTTTTAATTATTATCAAATAAATTTTAATTAAGATGACTTATAATCTGATTTATATGAATTTTTTATATTAAAATATGCTAATCTATCATTAAATTACTATAAAGTTGAAAAGGTTAGGTGATAAGATATTGATTAAAACAAAAATAAATTGGAAGAAAAAGGCATGAAATTGGAAATATGAGAATAAATAAAAATAAATAAATGTACTCTATTTTTTTTAAATTCTAAAAAATTATATTTCTTTTTATATTTAAAATAAATTTCCACCAAACATTAGGAAGAGTGTATGTTGTATTTTTTAAAATGAAAATATATATATATATATATTTGTATTATCGAGCATAATTAGGGATAACAATTTTTTTCCTTTTTTTTAATTTTTAATTTACACTTCAGTCAAGATTTGACAACTGCTGAAATCACTGTCAAAATTAATACTGATAAGATCAGGACTCAGTGTAGACACCCAATTTGATTCAGGCCCGAATCAATTGGGCCTAGTCCAAATGGGTTGGTCCATTTTATTTTTTTTATTATTTTTTTATTTTATATTTATATTTATATTTATATTTTATATTATATATATTTATCTTTTATGTATTTATTATTTACTTATTTATTATTACTATTTATTAATATATATCTTTATTTTTTTTTCTTTTTTTCTTTTTTTTTCTTTTTTTTCTGTTAATATTCATATATATATATATTTATTTATCTAGTTATATGTTTATTATTATTTATCTATTATTATTGTTAATTTATTTGTTAATTTTTTAGTTTATCTTATTATCTTCATTTAATTATATATTTTTTATTTAATTTTTTATTTTTTTGATTTTTTTCGGTTGAAGATTGGATTGGTTTTGGAGGAATCCCACTGTAAATTGGGATTCAATTAGAGTTCATATTGGATTCAATGATTGAATCCCAATATGAAGAGGAGTTGGGATTGATCAGAAACTCTTCTGATCAATCCCTATAAAAAGACCCACTGATAAAAAAAAAAAAAGGATAGATGGAGAAAAGAGTTACTGGCTGAGAGAAAAAGAAGATACAAAGAGGATTTAAAAGCTAAAAAGGTTTGGGTGCGTTAGAACAGCTCTAAGAATCGGTAGGAATTTTTTACGAAATTTTTTCTGGAAATTTCAGGAAAATTTTCAGATTCCGGTTGAATTTTTCGACGAAGGTTGAATTTTTTTGCAGCTATTCCGGCTAAGTTTGAAGTTTCCAGCCAACTTTCCAGTTTCCGGTAACATTTCTAGAAATCGATCAGTTTTTCGACGAACTTTCGACGAAAAACTTAGATTCCGATGAAAATTTTCAGAATCCGATGAATATTCAACCGGAGTTCTTCAGATTCTAGAGAGAAGGGAGAGAAAAAAAAAAGGAAAGAGAGAGAAGAGAGGAAGGGTTTTGTTGAAAAAATAAAGGAATCAACCTTATATACCCTCCTAAAACGACGTCATTTTTGCGTTAAGTAACCCAGAGGATCCGCGCATTTTGCCAAGATCCAACCCGACCCGAGCATCGACCCGTATTCGACCCGTGCGACCCGCGTCTCAAGCCGTTAACCGAGCCGTTCTCAGGTTTTTTTTTATTATTTATTTCTTGTTATTATTACTATATTAGAATGGTTTAATATTTTTATTTGTATTTATTTTTATTTATCTTTTTATTTATTTTCATTTTTACTTTGTTTATTTTATTTTTTAAAAAAATTCAAAAAAAAAATTATTTTTGAGAAAAAGTTGAAAGTATCAATTTTTCTTAAAGATAAATTTAAAAAAAAAAGTTTTGAGAAAAAGTTGAAAGTATCAATTTTTTCCTGTACAAAAGCAATCATTTTTTTTTTAATTTTTTATTTCTTTAGAATTTTCTTTAATGTTAAATAATCCGACGATGGAGCCTCTACAAGTGAGACAGTAGTTTTCTTGCATACTCTTGAGGTGATGATTTTCTCAATTTTTTGCTAAAAGTATTAGAGTCAATTGAGAATAATTTTCAACAACTAATTACTTGGTAAAATTTTAAGGCTTATTGGATAACACAAAATTAAGCTAGTACCATCTTTGATGGGCGTTGTGAGGGTGCTATAACTTTTCTCACACGTAACCGAACTTCCGAATCCCGTTCTAGTTAGTAGACTCAAACCTATTTTTTTAGGGACCCTTAAACTTAGGTGTTCACTGAAAGAATAGATTCATTAGGTGACCAATCGCACTTAGATAAAAAAGATTGGTGGCGACTCCTAAAGTTCATGTCTGCGATAGATCCCTGGATCTAGACGTTATGATAGCTTGGCGACTTCACTGGGGACTCTAAGAGTCAGGCTAGCAAATAAATTTGTGTTATCCAAAAGCCTAATAAAATTGAACCTTTTGTATAGATTTTTTTTTTCGTTCATGTTTATTTACTTTATTAATTATGTCATTCATATGCATATGCATAACATGAGCTCTATACCCGAGCTTCGTCCCTCTAGGAGGGAGTAAAGTACCTATTGCTTTCGTGAGGTTTAATACCTCCGCAGTGGCTAGCGAAATATTCCTATTCAAATTGAATATTTTTCGCTTGTAGCCTGTAATGGGTGAGGATTAGGGTGCCTTACTAGTCTGTGATGGACAATGATGTAAGGAGTAATTTGGAAACCTTTAAACTTTAACCTTGAACCACATATAGTGAACCTTAGAAGTGCTTAAACTTAAGATAGAGCATTTTCTATCCAATGATAGATGTACCCTGAAACTAGGACACAAGAAGAATATTTATCTAATCATTTTGATTATCTGACTTTGTGCATCATTTTCATTATCGCATGTAACATTATGCATCGACATCACTTTCAATTCATCTGTGAAACTGATCATGTTGTTTGTTTGATTTTATGCGTATGTATTATTTTCATGATCATGTTTTAACATTATCATCTACATCCATTTCATATTAAATTTCATTCATAAAAATGTACATTTCATTTGTCCATCAATGTATCATACATAAAGCATAGCATAGCATTTCTAATCATAATTGTGGTGCTAGAGGTTCAAGGATAGCTCCGCCAAACAACCCCACTCACCAATACAATACAAGAGCTCAAGCCAGATTAATGGAACAAGAAAATTTCAATTGTCTCGAGAGAATAGAGAAAGCTCAGGAGAAGTTAGAAGGGGAGTTGAATAAGATTTTAGAGGCTTTGAACAAGTTAAACAAGGGGAAGGCAATAGAGGAGAATGCTAGCCAACAAGAGGAGGATGACTCACTATACCCTCCTGGTTCTGAGCCACATCAAGTCTAATCTGCACAAGATCCACCATCACAGTAGTTCACCTATCTTGTAGGGTACACATA